GACATGATATTTTAAGACACAGATCATGTCAAATGGCCCCCTCCACAAAGCACCCATATGTTCCCATTGCTCTCAGGGCAAATCCTTACCTCTTCTGTCGTCTACGAAGCCCACAGACCTGGCCTCTGTCTATCCCTGCGCCTCATCTCCTACCGTGGGGTTCTGGCTCCAGGTTCACTGCCATCAAGCAGGTACCAGATCTCTGTCCCTACTAAGCCTGCCCCAGCTCCTCCTCAATCCGCTGGCTCTTTTCCAGTTTATCAGGCATCTTTTGTGTTCTTCCGAGAAGCCTGCTCTATCAGCTCTAGTGAGGAAGGTACACCACCCCCATCCTCACTACCCTGTTACTTCACCCTGTTCCTTTTCTTCAGAGCCCCCACAATTGCTTATAATTGTGTATTCGTTTGTTTATGACCTCCTTTCCCTAGTAGAGTACCAGCTCTAAGAGGACAGGAAGCATAGCAGTTTGTTCTCGGCATATGCTCAGAGCCCGGCACATGCTGGCATCTGGAAGGAACTCACTCAATACATACTGTAGCCCAGCCCCAGCTCCCATACTAACTAGCTCCCTGCTTGGCCAGGCACCTAACCTCCCGGAGCCTCCGTTTGCTGGTCTGTAAAATGAGAGCAATGATTCTTACACGTTTGGGAAGTTTGAATGAGATGATAATGTCTGCAAAACACTTTGAAAGCTGTCGAGTGCACGCCAGCCATGTGATGAACTGCTTATGAAGCCACCCAGGGTCAAAAGGAAGTGTGGTCCCACGGACCCAGGTTCTTGCAACTGCCAGGTGCTTTCAGGGCTTTTCAATGAAGTGTGGACTTCAGACAAATGACAGATCTAATGGACTGCTCTCTACAATTGGCTGCATGTCCAGCCAGCACAGATAGGATTATAATTAGAATTTTAAGAGTTCTGTTTCATTTCCAAAGGATTCCATGCAGTCTCCCTGAGGTGTGTGTCCAGACGCAGCTCCTGGTGGCAGGTGTTTTTACTCGGGCCCATTCGCTTCTTTTCCTACAATATCAGGAGTATCTCTTCCTATTACACTCATTAATTTCAGATGCCAGGTGAGGAGGGATTTTTCACATGTGAGATTTCAGATGGTGACCACTGAGCAAACAGCATAGCTCTCACCCGCTGTCATCACGTCCTGAATGACAGTAGCTTGGACAAACTCACTGTCGCAGAGCCAAACCTTTGATGAGCAGCCAGAGAATAGTCTGTAATGGGAGAAATTAAATAAATCCTGTCAGGTCATCCACAATAGGTCCCAAATCCGTCCGTGTTCCTCCATCCATGCAGCTCTCTAAGGGAAACCATTCTTCAGCTTATTAACACAGTGAAACCTCTTATAAGAAACTACAGCAAAGCCCGTTTCTCCATTCTTGCTGCTGAAGGACTCAGGACACACCTCACTGTCAACCCTAAATGAACAATCCACTTGGAAGGGGAGCTGGGCCACTGGAGATGGGTGGAGATGTGCCCGGAAGCAGGACACAAATCAAAGCTGAGCCCAGCCTGGGCGCTCCCACGGTTCAAATCCCATCACCTGCTTTTCTGCTGGGTCCTTTTGATTGTAACTCTTCACTAGGCAGAGTGATGAGAAAGACGACAGTACCAAAATTCACCTGATCATCAGACCCAGCTGACTATTTTGTTTCTTTTTGGCTCCTTTTTATTTTTCTAATGATTTCTAATATTGGCCAGCGTTGCTAAGGAGCCAGGAAAGTCAGAAGAGCCCTTGATGGGATTCCTCTGAGTAAAAGAAAAGCCTAACTGTGTAAGTACGAAGTACAGGTTGGTCCCGAGTAGTACAATGCTCTCTGCAGTCATCCTACCACGCCGTGGATGAAAACAAATACATAGCATGCGCTGGAGGTGAATTTGCAGGGAAAGGAAACCGTGTGCAAGGTGTGAGATGACTGGCACCTCTGAGAATGGAGCTTCAGGAAAGTTCCGAGGAGGGTTCCCTTACGCTCTGTGTCCCTCCCACACTCCTGATACACTGAACCAACTGTGGATTTCCAGTTCTTGCACCTCATCGGGTCTGTTATGCCGCTGATTATAAGGCATTGTCATTTTAGGTACCAGTGAGAAAGAAAATTTGCTCCTAATTAAATTGTGACAAATATGGGGTCAGCGGGGACAGATGCCATGTTCTTTCAGGTCACAGTCTTATCTGTCTCCTGGGAATGCTATTTCTCCCACTTGCTCTCTGCCTAAAGTTACAGCTCACCTAACATTTGACTGGTGTTTGGTATTTACTGTCTGCTTTACGTAAATTTGTGGACTAGGTTGTGAGCTCCCTATGGAGAGGAACTGTATCCTGTTCATCTGGGGACCGTCAAACCCTAGCACAATTGCTTGCCAAGGACAAATGCTCAGTAACTCTGGGTTGAAAGCATGGGTTCTTTGTTAAAGCCAGTCTTGGAAGATTCCTCCAATGTCTGGGCAACATATCTGTGGCTTTTACCTCCATGAGAAGGAAAAGACAGCAACTGACAGGATTTTTCTAGCAATACATCAAGGCTTCCATCGGTTTTTTCCCCATGAAGAGGTGGCACCATTCTCCACAGAAGTAGAGAGTATTTCCCAGGACTGTTATGTCTCACTCATCATCTATTTCACACCAGCATGAGAAGGGGAGCCACGACGCGTAATGAGGCTGGAACAAATAGTAAGCACCGTTGTCGGTGACGTGACTGAGCCAGGACACAACAGCAGGTGCATCCATTAACCCTCTCCTGTGGAGACCACCGGCAGCCGGCCACCGAAACGCCACTCAGGTGGCTGTCCTGTCAGTTCACCTCAAGTTTGCAAACATCTCTTGCCTCCCTACTCCAAGCCGGGTTGTGTGCCAGGCTCTCAAGTTCAGAGATAGTAGGACCCCATTGCCGCCCTCAAGGAATTTATGGTCTAACTCGAAACTCTTAAAAATGAAATTCCAGAAGGGTAGGTAACTTGTTCAAAGTCACACCATTATAAGTGACTGAGCCAGTACTGGAACCCGGGTGTTTTTGTTTGTTTGTTTCTTGTTTTGTTTTTATTTCAAAGCCTCCCCCTTTTGAACTATACCACATTGCATCCTATCACACTGCAATATAATTATTTATAATTTTTTTCAATTGCATTTAAAATTTATTTAACTCTACTTAACAGTTGATTAGCAAAGCCATAAATCAGGCTGTAAAAATATATTATAGATGTTGAAAATATTCACATATATTAAATATATTTCATGTATTTAAAATAAAAGTGAAATTGGTTTATCGCTGGCTGATTGAGTAATGTTTACATTTTTTACATCATTCTATATTTTTTAGATTCTCTAAAATGAGATTGAATGGCATCTATATTTTTGAAAAATTATTTTTAAAGTAAAATAAAATAAAGTAAAAAATATACAAAAATGCTTTTTAGCCCATAAAATACTAATAAGTATCAGCCACTAAATTTATTGCAAGGTACTAAAACCCTCAATGCATGGATTAGGTTAAAAGCACATCTAATTGACCTTGATACTTGAATTTGATAAATGCCCCAAGTATTTGCTGTGAGAGCAATAAAGCTGTGGCTATCAAGATCGTACTATCTCAAATGTGATCAGTTCAGCTTTGCCCAGCATTTTCTGAGGGTACAGAACAACGAAGGCCAAAGCCTACTCAGAAGCTGCAGTGCCTAGGACGGAGGACGTCTCATTCTTTGTTGACAAGCCCTCACTTTACAGGTTTTACTCCTTTCTGCCTAGCAATGCCTGGCTGTACTATTCACAGCTGCTATCTGCCACCTTCCCTCAAGGAGTCCTGGTGGGAATTTGGTTTTAATGACAACTTGCATGTGACTGTGGGTCCCCAGCTCCTTGAGCAGATGGATAATAGTGAGCTTACTGCTGAGCCAGGCACCCTGGAATTTCATTTTGGATGTAAGCCTTCTATTCCCTCCTTGGAAACCAACCTGTACTAATAAGCGCCATTCCTCTTATCTCAATGAGGCCTAATAATCTCCTCTCACAGACCTACTGATCTTTGACCAACCCCCTGCGTATAGAAGCAAGAGCCCCCTCCCTTTGGAAAAATAGGAGGTTGGGGCTTCCCTGGCAGTTCAGGACATCAAGGCTGTGATAGAACCTTCTAGGAGTGCCAGCCTCGCAATTCTGGGCCTTCACACTTACTTATTATATATCACAGTTGCTGCTGAAGGATGTATTTCTAACTTATCAGAGTTTCCTTCTAGACACTCATTATATTGGTACGTGCTTTCAAGCAGTGTGCTTTGTAGCTAGGAGGTAAAATAATATTTTACAATAGTGTTATGATTTCAAAGGCACATTTGGTTGCACCGTTCTCTCATTTCATCATCACAGAAGCCCTATGGGAAAGATATTATTACCTGCTTTGCAGTGAGGAAACCAAAGCTTAGAAATGCTCGGTGGTGAGTCCAAGCTTGAAGGACAGAACTCAATCCCAGGTCTGACTTCACTGCTTTTCTAAAATTAAAAGTAAGACCCCAGATCACAGGCTGAGAAGGTGTCAGATGGAAGTGGTCTCATTCCTAATGAAGACATCCCCTGCAGAAGAGAAGGGAAGGAAGGAGGAAAGAAACCAGCATCTATTGAGCTTCTATTCTGTGTGGGCTGTTTTCCTCGCACTATCTCTTTCAAATGGCATCTCTTTCTCCCAGGTAATCAAACAGAAACAGAAATAAAGCAAGACTCATTTACTTCCCCAAAGTCACATAGCTTACAAGTGGCAAAACTGGGCTGACAACTGGTCTTTCTGACCCCCTAACCCACGGTCTTCTTACCAAACTTCACATCTCACCACAACTCATGGTGCATTTATGCACATGGGCGATGTTAAAAGGCAAATGGCAAAAGTTCTCTGATTTGGAAAGGTTGGTGTTCTTAGGGACACGCGCATATCCCCTTTCCTCCCCCTGAGTGCCCAGCACATTTTTCTGTGTGACACTGCTGACATGCTCGTCTGGCCTCTTGCAGGGTGTGTTGTGGTGGTATCTGTGATTGAACAGCTTGCACAAGTTCACAACTCTACGACCCAGGCCGCGATGGAAACGCTGTGCAGCTACCTGCCTGGTAAGTACAGAAAGGGTTCTGCGGCAGTGGGTCCCCTTTCTTTTCTCACTCATGGTCTTTTCTCACTCCTCGGTCACCATGAATGAGTTTAGACCTGACACATGCTTACGGAGGAGAATCCGATTGTGTTATTTCTGTAAATCGATATTCTTATGGGGCTCACAGAAATTAAAACAAACACACAAGAAAGCCGCTGTAGGCTGTTTTTTTCTCTTCATTTTCCATCGTGGCAGAATAATGACGGTCAACCATGGTCATTGTGGTCAAAGCAATGAACAATTTTCAACGATTTGTATTCATTTGACCACATGCACATACCCAGAAGCATGCACAGTTCTACCAACACAGAGCTTTAGGCTGAGAAGACAACTGGTCTCAACACCACAAATGGGAAAATAATCTGAGAACATTCCATTGATGTCGACTGGATCTCAACAAAACCCCTCTCCCATCCTGCAGAAGGAGCTGACTGATGGTTCAAACAAGTCACATATTTGTTTTTCAATCTCAGCAGAAAGAAAATATTTTATTTTCACTTACTGATACTGTTAGGTGAGCAGTCACAATGACTAAACTTCTTTGAGAGTCAAATTTTCATTCGCTTAATGTTAAGGAGCTAATTCATCAAGGATGCCTATATTACTTTTTCTGAGTAAAGTAGTTAGACTAGTGGTGATTGTATCTTTGATTTATATAGCACACAGAGCCAATAGCAGCAAAGCATTTTCCGAGAATTTATTGCATGCTGTCACAATATGCATTCACAAGCTAAATGTTTAAAATTCAAAAACTAAGCCTGGGAGACGATAACACAAGAACACACATGTTTACAATGTTCCAGATCGACCATTGCTAAGATTTGGACATGTTTACATCAAATCCTTCTTTTGTGGAATTAGAACATGGCAGATAAACTTGAAACACCCTTTGGTCTCCCCCACCCCCAGTTCTACTCTCCTCCAACCTCCCTAGAGGGAACCAGTCACATGAACTAATGGGTATTCTTCCTTTCAGATTTTATACTTTCACATTCATGTGTATGAATCCACAACCAATGTATAATATTGCCCTGTGGGTGATTTTTTTTAACCTTTTCTTGATAAAACAAATGTGGAATATCACACAAAATAAATGTATAGTTTTAATACCCTTGTAAACATATCTTAGGTCAAGATCATCAGTTCAGGAGCTTCACTCACATGCACCATCCCATCACGAATCCCTTTTTCCCCCTAAAAGAACAACGTCCTGAATTTTACTGTAATCATTTCCTTGCATTGCGTTATAATGTTATCACCCAAGTGGGTATTCCCAGACACCATAGTATTGCCCAGTTTTAAAAATGTTGATGTGTCTTTTAAGTCTGTTTTAATCTATAAGTTTCCTTTTCCATCTCTTCCTTTTCCTTGCAATTTAGCTGTGGAATTTGCCCTATAGAGTTTCCCATAGTCTGGATTTTGCTGATTGCATCCCTGTATAATTGAATGAATGCGTTTCTCTGTGTTCTGTATTTCCTGAAAATTGGCAGCTGGGTCCAGAGTCTCGATCTGACTCCAATTTGATTTCTTAGGCAAGATTACGAGCACTGGTATTTTCATTCATCGGGAGGCCATCACAGGTGTTTTTCTCTTTTTTTTCTTTTTTGATGTTAGCAGCTGTTGATACTCAACAACCAGACCTATTAAGTTCATAGAGAGGTTGCAAAATGGTGCTACTTTAATCTGCCATTTATATTTTATTTAAATATGTTAGAGACAATTTTCCTCCTCATCATTCCTATTTTAAAGACATTTTCCCCACAGTTCCTAATGGCACCATTCCTACTAGGAAAGGCAGAATAAATGTTTGATTCTTGGGCTTTCTTTGCCAGTTTTCAAATAACGCATTGCCTTTCTAGGCTGATCCCAGAGCAGGCAATTTATTTTCTTTAAAATACCATTATGAACTCATGAATTTATATATATTTGATGAATTTCAGTCTATTTCAGTTATTACCCTTTTGAGGCTCAAATTATCCCAACTTTGACCAGAGGGAACCTCTTCAAGTTGGCTTCTGAGTCCTCTGACGTGAGCCTAAGTAACCTCTGATAGTTTCCACACTAACTGGCGTGACGAGGTGTGCGAGCCCTGTCTTGTACATTTCTAGCCCCAGGCTTTTGCCATCAGTCACTTCCATCAGAAGCCCTGGTTTCTTTTAGTGGGAAATATTATTTTCAGACCGCAATCTGGGCACGTACAAATGCTCATTGCAACTGAGTAGGTCATTCTTTCTAGGCCTCTTAAGTAGATAGTGATAGAAGATACCCATATATACATTTACATATATAATTGTAAGACAGTACATCTATTGAGTTGACACTGATGCTTCAAATTCAGGACTACAGGATTTTTTTTTTCTTAATCTGTTTCCTACATACCTGTAACCTGCTCCTTCCACACGCTATATCCTAATTCTCAAGGACTATGGGATTGATAGAATTAAAATAGCCCATCATGACTCATTTACCTACCCCTCATTGCACACATAACTGTCTGAGAATATCAATTCTAAGACTACTCCTATTAATATATTTTATAATCATCGAAGGCAGTTAAAATTGTTTTTTGCCTATGCTTTTCCCATTTCTCTTTAATCATCGTACTATATTATCTGAGCATGCAGCCATTACACACAGTACCCATTCCTTTTCACTCTCATTTTGCCTTAGTTCCATCAGCCACTCTGATTGATGTTCACCATCAGCCCTGATGAGGATGTCTATCTAGCTGAGTTGTTGTCTAAGGCTCTTTCCTCAGCAAGGGCTCATGGGAAATTCTCCCTGAATTTGTTGCATGCTGATTAACAGGCTGTCTCTGCCCTTTATTCTTTGCGAGTCAATGTTTTTCTGGATATAAAAATCCTTGGCACACAATTTCTTTCCCTAAGCATCCTAAATATGTTATTAAAAAGCCTGATGATAATCTAATTTCCTTTTTCTTACAAGTCACTTGCTATTTTTGCCTAGAAGTTCAAAGGAATTTTTTCTTCTTCTATAAAATTTAGTTATATAACTAGCATATGTCTTGGTGTCAGTTATATATACATTGGTGTTCTGGGGCACACAGTATGCTCTCTCCGTAGGTGCTCTCAAATACATTTTTTATCATTTCAGGGAAGTTTCTAGTATTTGTTCAATGTCCTTAAGTTAGTTTTCTTCTACGGGGATTTCTAGTATTCATTTTTTGAATCTTCTTTGCCTAGCTTCAATATTTTGCTTATTTCTTGAATACTTTTTATCTCTGCATTTATTTTTTATCTTCATATTTTTCCTCCCTTTCACCTTATATCTCTTAAGACATCTGTTATTGTATTCACTTCTTGTGTTCATTTTAGTTTAAACTTCATTTCTTTTATAATCTTGTATTCTTCACTGACTTCTTTATTGCCATGTTTGTATTTTTTCTAATTCTGATTTCTGTTGTTCTTCTATCATTTTATTAATGCATCTTAGCTCATTTTGAGATACAATGTTATGTTTTCATCCTTTTCTGGCAAGATTTCCTGGCAAGCTTTTACTATCTGTAGGGATGTGATTCTGTTCCTTTTTTTTTTTTCTTATAATAACTTCATATGGGAGTTGACCTAGATACATTTCTGTTGCTCATTTTTACATGAGATTAGTTTTCCAAAACTCTTAGAAAAAGAAGTGACTCGGGGTAGCTTTTTTAACTGCACAGAGCTCCTATTTCTGTTGTTTTTGTGTAGTGTTAAAGAAATAGCAGCTTGCTTTCTGAGGTTTTCTGACTCTGTTCCCGGCCCACTTTCATCTGTTTTTTTCTCTTTAACATTGCTTCTGTCCAGATCAATTTTGACTCCAAACCCAGCAGTTTCTCCTCACTATGGGCTCTGTCCTGGAAAGGAACTCTGGTGGGTCAGTTTCTAGGAGGTGTAGGTGCCAGGCCACTTGATTTCCTCAGTCCTTCGAACCTGGAGCCCTCTGCACTCACCTGCTACTGAAGTTGGCAAAGCCTTTCCTGGGTCCAGGTGCTGTCGTTCAATTGGCCTACCTTGCACTCCAGTCAATATTTGTGGGGTTTTTGGGGATTCCCCCATTCTCCGGTTTATCTGACACCCCATTGCTTCCCTCCACTTTCTTTTCCATACAGACATTGATAACCCACAAGAAATGGCTTTGCATGATCTTTTGGGGTTCTTGGAGATACCTAGTTTTGTTGTAACTATTATGTATGGTTTTGTGTGTGAGGGGTTAATCTCTCTCTCTCTCTCTCTCTCTCTCTCTCTCTCTCTATATATATATATATATATATATATATATATATACACACACACACACACACACACACACACACAGGGTGCCAAAAAATTTTATGGGTGTGGGAACAGTACACAGAATGGTCCGCGAATTGTATGGGGAGACAAAGATAGTCTGTCTTCTATCTAAGGACTTCTAGAAAATAGAATAAGCCTGGAGCATAGTGCCTACCTGCACCCTGTACTGCCTTCTTTCTGTCCAGTGAGTCAGGAGAATGGGGGACAAAGGAAGTGAAATTATGCACATCAACACACAGCTATTATTTTAAAAATTATTTTCAAGTAGTATTGCGTTTACCGCCAGAGCCAAAAATAAATCCAGAAAACATAATCTTAGCAGAGAAAGCACATATGCAACATACTTGAGCATCGTTACTCAGTAAATAAATCATACTGGCTTTTCCTGGGCCCGGGAAGACTTTTTTTTCAAATTGTGCAAGCATTTCCGACCTTCAGTTTCACCCACTGCTTTTGCCTCTGGCTGTCGTTAGTAAACACCTTGGAAGAGTCTCAGAATTGTTAATGGGAAAATTACTAATGGAGTCATTCTCACTAGGGGTCAGCAGACTCATATGCCCTGAGAGTCTTGCTGGAAGGAACTTCACTTTCTCCGGTCACCTAGGCAGAGATCTTATCTCCATGGAATACGTAGTTAAACACTCACGCAGACTTAAAATGAGGAAGGCAACTTGCCTCACATTCTATAGGCTCTGAAAATCCACTTTCTGCCTCGAGTATAAAGCCTCAAAAGTAGCTCAGCGGTTAATTCAACTGACTGTGCCTTAAATTTCTCATCAGTAATTAGTGCGTAACAGCACCTGACACACCTGAGGTAGATGAGGCATCAAATAAAATGTCCTAAGTACGTTGAAATGCATACTACAAGTAACATGGGCTTTTGGAGTAAAAGATTTTAACCTCTTACTGAACCACAGGTATAGTTATCAGTGATCTTGGGCAAGCCTTAAGCTCCGTAAACCTCAATGTTCATTCCTACAGAATGAGGGTAAAAAAATAACCACTCCCTCAGGAGGTTCTTAGGAGAAAGTTAGTGACAACAAACATGAAGGTGACTTACAACCTGGAATGGTCTAGGTTTTATTTACACACACACGCACGTGGATATACCTCATGCAGGATGACTGTGTAGTTCTTTTTTAACCCGCCTTCACCCTTGGAAATGGACACACTTTTTTTTCCATGCTTTTCCAAATAGTTTCACTCTGTGGAAATTAAATATTCTTATACCTTTCTGGTCATAGGCAGGATTTAGCTGTAGACATTTTACATCAGATAGGTTACTGGCAATATGTTAGTGCCAATCTTCAGTTGTATCAATAAGTGAGGGTGCTGCCTGATCAGGGCTAACTGGCACCTGCCTGGATTTTTCTGCAGACTTTGCAGATCTGTGCTCTGCATCCTTCTTGTCGATCTAGAATTTAGCTCTCAGAGGGCCATCTCGTGCCCCACGTTAGCCGCTGGTCCAGGAGCCCCTCATTCTTATCCATCACCAAGTCCAATTGAGGAAACTGATGGTTGAGATGATCCTGCTCAGAGGACAGCCTTGCGGTCATTCACTTCAACCTGAGCAAAACAAGGTTACATGCACACACACACACACACACACACACACACACACACACACACACACTTCTTATTTTACCAGAAAGAAAACAGATTTTCTCTACCTTTCAGGCAATACGGCAACTTTATCAAAGAACACCCTAATGCCAGGTTTTAAATCGCACTGCTCTTGGCTAAGCTAGTTCTCCATTAGCAATACTTGAGACTCTCCCAAAGTGCTTTGCAAGTTCATGTAATTTTGAACGCCTGGTGCATCGTGCGCCAAACTACCAAGACGGGTAGGAGAGGGGTGCTGAGTCCTACTCCCGCACTTTTCCAGTGAGGAAATGCAGCCCCAGCGACCTAAGGGCAGAAGCCAGTTAGCTGGTGCTGAAACTCAGGTCTGAGTCCTATCACCTCAGAGCTTCTTTAGGCTCTCCACTGCAGGGGGGCACCCAGGGAGAAGAGGATATGTCACGTTTAAACTGTTATACTGCGGTGTAATTCACACAGCATGCAATTCAGCCATTTAAAGCCTAGAATTCAAGGGCTTTTAGGGTGTTCACAGAGTTGTGCACCCATCACCACCATCAAGTTTAGAATATTCTCACTATTCCAAAAGGGAACCCAGTACTCCTTATCTGTCACCCCCAAACATTCATCCTCCCAGCCCTAAGCAACCACTAATCTGTCTCTATGAATTTGCCTATTCTGAGCATTTCATGTAAAAATGGAATTATACCATATGTTGGCTTTGGTAACTGCTTCTTTCACTTAGCATAATGCTTTTCACGTCCATCCTTGTTGTAGCATGTATCAGAACTTCACTGCTCTTAATACTGAATAATATCCCGTTGTGCAGGTGGAGTCCATTTTGTTCATCCATTCATTAGTTAATGGATATTGGTGTTGACTTGTTTTCACTTCTTGGCTATTTTGAATAATGCTGCTATGACCATTCATGTACAAGCTTTTATGTGGATATATGTTTTTTTATTCTCTTGAGTATATACCTAGAAGTGGACTTACTGGATCACATGGTAGCCCTGTGTTTAACCATTTGAGGGGCTGTCAGACTAGTAACCAAAGTGGCTGCACGATTTTGTATTCCCATCAGCCGTGCAGGAGGATTCTAACTCCTCCTCCTCATCATCAATGTCTGTTATGAGCTGTCACTTCTATTACAGCATATCAGAGGGAGTGGGAAGGCATATCTCATTGTGGTTCTGATTTGCATTTTCTTAATAGCGAATGACGCTGAGCATGCTTTTGTGAGCTTACTGGCCATTTGTGTGTCTTCTTCGGAGAATGTCTATTCAAATGCTTTCTTTACATGTTTGGTACATTTCCCCAGTGAAGACATCTGGTCCTGAGCTTTTCTTTATGGGAAGTTTCTAATTACTAATTCAATCTTTTGTTATATGTCTATTCAGATTGTCTATTTATTGCGTCAGCTTTGGCAGTTTTCTTTCTAGGAATTTGTCCATTTCATCTAAGTTATCTAATTTGCTGCCACGCAGATGAGCCGAGTATTCCCTCAGAGGTTTTTTTTTTTTTTTAATTTCTGTAATGTCAATAGTAATGTGGGGGATATAGTTTTAAGTTCCTACTTCAAAAGTACACTATGTTTGAAGTCTTATAAGTCTTATTGTAAGACTAAGTCCTACAAACATATCTATTTTAATATAAAAGTAGTATTGACATTATTTACCACCGAGTAAAAATGAAGAACCAAACAGAGTTCCCTGTATTGATCCTGTTGCTTCAGTATCGTGCCCTCTGAGCAAGGACAGCGCAGTTTGAGAAAAGCGTGACCTGCTACATTCTTGGGGAGAGCTCCCTTCCCTTTCCAGGACTTCTCACCTGTCCCTAACTTTGCTAAGGTCCCACGTGGAATCACCAGGGTCCCACAGTAGACCCACCAACTGGAGAACCAGGACCAGAGAGTAAACAGATTTCACTGTGCAAACAGATCAATCAAAAAAGCATTCCTGGACTCTCACAATGGGGAGAGGGTGGGAGGAAGGAGACTGTATTATTAATGGGTGTGTGGTGTGTGTATGTGTGTGTATGTGTGTGTGTGTGTGTGGTGTGTGTATATGGTGTGTGGTGTGTGTGTGTGTGGTGTGTGGTGTGTGTGTGTCTGTATATGGTGTGTGGTGTATGTGTGTGTGTGTGTGTGTGTGTGTGTGGTGAGTGTGTCTGTATGTGGTGTGTGTATATGGTGCGTGGTGTGTATATGGTGTGTGGTGTGTGTGTGTGTGTGTGTGTGTGTGTGTGTGTGGTGTGTTCTCTGGTGTAGATGGCAGTGCAGGAACACCTGTGACAGTCTCCTTTTATTTCTGGAATATCAACAGAAAAAACTAAAAAGCTAAAGTGAAGTCTTTTTTTCCCCCCAAATGAACACCAGAGAAGAATATTTTTAACAAAGCTCTATTCAGATTATTTACTTTAAAGTGATTCCTGTTTCTTTCAACTTCAACAAATAACATCACCAACATTCAGATGTTCGCTGCTGTGAAAAATAAAATAGAATCCCAGAATTTAACCGTATTTTAAAAATAAACTAATGATTTTTAGCATGTGCAGTAAATAAAGCGACATTTGTACAAACCTGAGATGGAAATGATATTTTAATGGTGACATTAACTGTAACATTTTTCCCAAACCCTTAAAATTAATGACTTGAATTAATGATAAATTAATCACCCAGCTTCGGCTCCTAGTAAAGATGATCATTATTAACTCATGTGTTAAATTCATCATAATAAAATTATTCTATTTCCCCTCTTTATTTTTCTTAGAAAAACTGTTCTTAAAGAGTGCCTGCCACTTAGTGGTTCGCATAGTTGGACCAGATATCATAAAACTGTGAGTATGCTGACACGGTAATCTGATTCATTTGGGGAACACGGAAAGAAACGGAAAAACTGGGGGGGGGGCGCTGGCTGTTTCCAGCCCATGTAGTTACTAAACAAGGGTGTGAGCTGTCTTCCAGTTCTTGCTAATAGCAGAAAGCTCAGACATGACTCAGAACCTTGGTCACTCTGAGCAAAGGCTCCCCTGAACTACGGGGTGGCAACCTGGCTAATTTCTCTCCGAGGGACTTTCAGAAGGAATTCGCCAATACCAACAAATGACTGGGCCCTGTTGGCTGGACATATGCCCTTGACCCTTTCTCCTGAGCTCCCCACATGCCCCAGCTTTTCCCTTCTCTACCTTCTGGGTCCTCAGGCCATGACCTTCTCAGGTTCTCCCCTTCTCTCACCCTCGGTGTTCCTGGGCCTCTCCACTTCCCAGCCCCCACCCTTGTCCCCCAGTATCCCTCATGTGCGCCATTATCACTATATGCGTCCTTTCTTTCTTTTATCTTTCTTTTGAGTTTAGGGGCACTGGATCAGATAAATCATATTCCTGTTCATGGAACTTTCTCATCAAGAATCTATTCATGGCTTTTCTATATTTATTATTTAGTTTGTTACTTAGTTACTTTGAGGAAGGTGATTATCTTCCAAACTCACCACCCAAAACAAAGTCTAAGACCTTGACAACAACTTATTCTAACCTGACGGTCCCTCTCAGTCTCATGTTTTTTCCACCCAAGTAACAAATCCTGTGTTCATCTTTCTCTTGCTTTTCTTTTTCTATAGTTTTATTATATATCTATTATATCCATATAATTATATAAAAATAATATATGATAATATAAGAAGGTATAATTACATGAAATAATTATAATTAATAATATATGTATTGTACATATTCCTTTAAAACATCTTTCTTTTACTAATTTCCTTATGAATAGAGCATCACATTGTATATAATCTCTTGGGACCTACCATTAAATGTGGGTGTCTAAGATTCATCCACAGAGCGGTGTCATTGTTGTAGTTCATTTGCTCTGACCACGTAGAATATTCCATTGTGTTTCTACAGGAGTCTGTTCCTTTATTATCGCATGGACGGGTGTTTGGGCTGTTTCCTGGTTTTCTCTCTTGCTAATGGTGGCATTCTGAACAATCTTACATGGTTCCTTTTTTTCTTTGCCATTAGCCTCAGGGCAGAGGCGCTCAGAGGACAGCATCACACCCCCACACACAACAGGGGAGCTTAGAGTTGCAGAATTTTAAAGACAAAAGTAACGTAAAAGCACACAGCACTTACCACATCTCCTTGTAATCAGCGCTCTGCCATGCTGTGCAGCTGCCTGTTAATTCTGGCCTCGCTCTGTTGTGGTCACTGATTTCTCATGGGCTCTGCTCTGTAAGAGTGTGGAAGGCAGAGGCCCTGCCTTCTTAGCTCATCCCCCTATTACTGCCACTGCCTCCTAAGGGGTCTCCTGGCCTGCAGGCATGCCCACTGCCCTGCAAAGCCACAGCCACATTATACCTGGCTGGTCCAATATCTGTGTAATGCAAAACTAACGTGGCACTCTCTCACATAAAATTCTCCACACCCTTTGCAGGGTTCCTTAGCCCCATACACAAGGCTATGTGTGAACCGGTCCCTAAGGACATTTGCAGACTCACCCCTGGCTGCTCCCTAGCGTATTACAATCACAACCATTTGGAATTTCCCCAAACACACCAGGAGGTTTTTGCCTCAGGACCTTTGCATGAGATGCTCCCTCTGCTTGGCACATCCAGACAAATTGTCTGCCCCAGACAAATCCTACTTCTTTGGACCTCAACTCCAGGGTCATTTGCTCTAGAAGCTTTCCTGACCCTCCTAGGCTACAACAGACACCCCTGCCACCACCACCACCACCACCACCACCACCACCACCCACACACACACACACACACACACACACACACACACTACACCACACACACACACACACACACACACACTCCTAGTACCCTGTGCAAACCCCCAGCACAGCACTTACCACATCTATTTGTAGTTTAATTCTCCATTTATTTCTCTGAGTTGCTACCCAGATTGAAAGGCATTTGTGGGCTAGGACTACATTTTATTCATCTTTGTATATCTAGGTACTTAGCAAAATATAGAAGGAAGGAAGGAAGGAAGGAAGGAAGGAAGGAAGGAAGGAAGGAAGGAAGGAAGGAAGGAAGGAAGGGGGTGAAGGAGGGAGGAGAAGAAGAAGAGGGCTTTGTATTTCCAGGCCTTGGTACAATAATTGAGCATAAAAGACCTTCAATTTGTGCAATTAATTAATTCTTTAACAAAACAAAATTTTCACTACAGATGAGCTATGAGCAGACTGCTCCCAAGAAAATTACTTGAATGCATTAAAACAGAAAAAAAAACCTTCTAGCATACTCAATGAATCTGTTTATATACCTACTATGAGTCAGGTGCTCTGGGGGAAAAGTCAGCTTGGACAGAGAGAGTCTGCTGGGCCTAGAGAGGTAAGTGGAAAAAAGTCACAGAAGCCAAAGAGGCCAGTGCATCCAGATATCCAAGAGGGAGTGTCAGAGGTTGGCTACCAAGGGTGCTGGGAGGGAAAGGGAAGTGGCCTGGGTTCACCTGGAAACCCATTGCTCTTCTGTAGCTGGCAGGAGAGCAGTGAATGCCAGAGCCAGTTAAGCACAAGGACCAAAGAGAGGACAGACAGACATGCACTAGATGCTGCAGACGGGAAATGTATGAGACAGTCCCCATCTCACATAACTACAAGCGGACACGGGGATGAGAAAGAATGGGCCCGGCCGCCACCAAAAGAGGGCCATTCCATGGGGGGTGGGGGGCATGTTTTTCTTTAAGACCATTCAAAGTCATGACACGGCTAATTCTCATTAGTATGGGGTGGACCCCTTTGAAGAAGACAGATGTAATAAACGATACCCCTCCGTGGTTCTGTCACTATTTTCCAGTACCCATATCAATTGTTGGCTGATAGAAATTTCTCCTCTTATGGTGTGTTCATCTTATAACTTGTTTTAATCAATCAGATGCCGTTTTGGGTTGATGTAGGCCCTTAAGTGACAGCCTCATGATTTAGTTTTACCTAAATTTCAGGTTTCTGATAGTAAATGTGTTTCCTAACCCAGAGGGCATCATCCCTTCTCGTTATCTCACACCAGTCAAGTCTCAGTGATTCATGAACTAATTATTCAGCAATTACATTTCTTACCCACAGGCAAGCCACAGGATGTTATTAGTCAGTGGGACACCTGAGCACTCAGGTGCATCCCCCCAAGAACCTGGGCCATGCCAGGAGTGGGGGCTGCTTCCACGAGCAGCCAATCCTAGCCAGTGATCACATGCCAAGTCCTCTTATACCTGGTCTTGACCTCCATTGTGACAAAGGTGCCATAGCAAACCTGACCTTGGTCTTCTGTCCATCTTACTTGGCTTCCTGGCATCTATTTATGCTTCCCTCTAAATCATAAGTTTTTGTATTCCAAACCTAGAAGCCCTCAGAGATCAGAAGAGGCCTAAACTACTAACATTTTTAGAAGAAAATACAAAAGAGGGTTTCTAATGATTATGATACACCTTAAATGTAATTAATGGTTTTTCTAGACACCAAAAAATACAGAGCAATATAACCATGCCATTCACAAGATAATTACAAGCTTTATAGAAATGATTAAATTCATAGCATACTATAAGGAGTAGGGTCCAGAAATGGAATGAAAATAGTAAGTTGTAAGAGGAAGGACTCTTTTTACTGCTCTGAGTGTACCTCTGTGACTATATATTAATATGTAAAACCTCCTTTGAAAGTGATGTCAAAGGTCTAAATGTGATAGCTTTCATGTGTGAAAGGACGTGTCCTCAGCTCTCTGCCATAGGCTGTTATGCTGCCCATCTGCTAACTTAACCCTGACCTTGATCCCTTCTTTTGGTTTATTATGATCATCATCATCATTGAATCCATTCTACCATGATCCTAATTAAATATGTTAATTAGCTCTGCCAAATGTGTTGAAGTCTGCCCCTCCCCACGTGCCTTACTCCTGCAGACCTCTGTCCCTGTAAAGGTAGTAAAAGGATATATAATAAGCTACAATATGACAATTTTGGTCTTATTTGCTGCTCTGGGAAAAAGGAAACAAAGCTGGGAGGAAATGGTTATTATGAGTTTGGAGATTTCCTAAGGATTTCACAAAGTACATGTGGGCTAGGCCTTCTGTCCCGAGGTTGGTGGACAGCACATGTGCGATTAATATTTGCCACTTCTTTGCATCTTATACATTTCAATGGTCTCACACTTGTCTGGACTTACGAGGCTTTGCATTTTCTATTCTTGTCCAAAGGAGCACCTCTCACTTTCACTCTTTTGATGACAAAGCTCCAGTCTCAGAGGACCCTGGGAGGGACACCACATGCCCAAGTCCCTCCTCCTATTTTTCAGTTCAGAGAAAGCCAGCCTCACTCTCTGACTCAGGAGTCCCGATTTCCACTCTGATATTCAAATTCACATACTTGAAAGTGTGCTGTCTTTGTAGGGGAAAGGGAAGAAGTCTCGGATACCACATAATGAATTGGCTCTGGGGGTCCTGGGTTGCCACAGATGGGGTGTTAACCATAGCGGTGGGGGGAGGGGTGGGAAAAGAAAAGATAAAGTAGGGCCCTATTCATCACCCTCCTGAGTCCACTAAATACCAGAACCCCATAAAGATAGCAGTCATCAGTTAAATAAATGGGCCATGAAGTTGAGAACAGATGTGTCAAAACGGCCACCTTCTCCTGATTTAGTGACCCTTGGTAGACAGTTTGGTGATGGACTTTCTATCTGTCACAAACAGTTTGCCCCACAGCTTATATGACATGGCCTCTTTTTACGCTTTCAGTTACCCCCTCTCCACTAGCCATGAAAGAACCCTGGGGCCAAGTAGATGACTAGTGATGAACTCTCCTCTTAACTCAGATGCTCACACAAGGTTGAGAAGCCATCCTGCCAGTCACATGGCTAGTCTCATTCAGCTGGAATGAAATTTGGGAGCCTTGTGGTCCCAGCTTATGTTTCCACACACTAGTGACCATCAAAATATTTGAAGCTCTCTGAAATGGCCCCTCTTTTTCTTTTTTTCTTTTCTTTTTTTTAGCTGAGCCATCCTGCCACCAGTTGGCAGCTCAGCAGGTGCTCATCTCGGGCCAGGACTCGAACCACTGTTGCTCAGAGCTCTAACTCTTGAGCAAGCTCTTAACCAACTGAGCCACTCGGTCGGCTGCTTGAGCTTTCTAACTCTCACTTGTTATTCTGCATATCCAAGTGTCAAACCCCCTCGGAGGAGAGTGTGTGGAATGGCGACCAGGGAAATAAGGCAGACATGGGGGTGCAGCTGGAATGGCTATCTAGCGACATACATCCAGGCCCTGGTCACAGGGGCCAAGCACTCCCCAGCTAATCAGTAGTGCTCAAGGGCCATCCACATATAGGCTGTAACTGCCTTCAATTAAAAAAAAATAGAAACAACATGGCCTTGCGGAAGAAGGAAGAACAAAAGGAGGGTAAGAAAGAGAAGAAAGGTGGCAGTCATCGCAGTCGCTGTAGAGATGGTCATTGTCATAGTGCGTGTGTGGGTGGGGGGGGAATCTATTATAGGGGAACCTAGAGCATATCATGTAACTCAAGGGCAAAACAAAAATGTCCAACCTTAAACAGAGACTGGAAACAAAACTGGGAAGCCACCAGGAGTGCAGGGGGACATTCTCCCCGGGCTTCCTCACTGCCCACGCTGGCTTCTGCCTCCTGAACCCCGTCCTACAGGCGAGCTTTCCAAGTGTTCTGTCCACATGGCAGGAAATGGCAGTGCAGCCTCAAAGCACTGTAGCTCCTATCATTCTGTGAACAGCCCAGAATAAAGTCGAACTTTTTAATACCAATTCCAAATTACCGTAAGAGAGAATCTGATTGGTCCTACTACAAGAATAGTTCAATGAGGTCCAATCAGCTGGCCAGGAGGTAGGGAGCATAAACACAGTTGCCAGGGACCTGTCCCTTTGGAGGAAGGGGGACAGTTGAGTGATCATGTCAGCTGGGAAGAAGCCCCCCAAAAATATCTTCTAGAATCCATAACTGCTTCCAACGTTAGTCTTTGGATATTCCCAACCTAATTTACTGATTTTTTGTTTTTGTTATTTTGGTGTGGTTTGGTTTGGGTTCGAATGAATAATTTATTTGATGAAATTACTAAAAGTCCACAATTTACTGTTCCTTTATTTGAAGCAGCACATTATAAGAAGGGTTTTAGAGTTGTCAGGTAGAAAATGGATATGGAAAGTTTATTTTAGCCCCTTCAAACCTGGACATAAACCAAAATATTTAAAGAACATAATTCTTACACCATTCCCAGGGGAGACGTCAATTCTATTGTATTTTCTTACATAAGGTAGAGAAATATTTACTTTACAGGGAAAGAGATGATTTGGATTATGCCTGAGAAAATAATTTTAGGAGTTTAAGCCTATATCATAAGTGATTGTGTTGCTATAAGGCCCAGAAAACTTTAAATTATTGTTTTCATCAAATTGCACCCCTGTCCATTTTTCCTTTACCAATTTTATTTGCGGCCTCTCCTGAAGAGAATCCCATGTTCCTGTGAGAAGCTGAAACACAGCTCAGTGCTTGGGGGGTGGGAGGGGTCCTCTCCACCCCCAGGACCTTATTTGAAATGTAGTTGAGAGCAATATGGCAGGAAATCGTTATGACCCAGCAGCTACTCAAAAGGCCAAGCTGCAGTGAGCGGAGGGTATTAGAGTCCATTCTGGGGACTCACTTGTCTTTGAAATCGCTTCTATTTCCCGATGCCTGAGAGATCTTAATAGCCTGTGTTTTGCCGCATTTCCCTCCAGGCTGAGTGCTGATATGACTGCTGATGTGGTGTGTCACCACCTGAAGTTTTGTGAACAGGTCCCTGGCCAACCTTTGTGCCATCTCTACCCCCTTCCCAAGGTGAGTTGTTTTTCACTCTGAATGTCAGATTCCAGTTACCTTCAAGCCCTTTGGAAATGTTGCAAAGGGAGGCTCAGTGACACTCAGCGATTTGGGGACAGGAAGAGGCAAGATGACATTTTCAATTACATCCTGTGAAGTACTATTCCCAAGTTTCCACCGAGATCCCTTTTCTCCATGCTGCCAAAGAATGTCTTTCCTGTGTAACTATGATGCTGGACTGACAGTTGGTAGGAAACCTGACTAGTCAAGAGGAGAAGAGGTTTAAATTCCTCTCTACCAATTAAAAATCAAACAAGTGACTTGTAAAAGGTGGCCAACTCTTCCCAGGTTGCCGAGGCCTTCCCTGGTATAAGCACTGAACGTCCCACATCCTGGGAAAACCTGGCCAGTTGGTCACCCTAGTCTGACCTTCATGTTCTCACCCATAAAATGGGTATAATAAATTACCTAAAATACCTCCTTCGCACATTAACTATGGGAAGTAGGTGAGCTGAGACGTTTAAAATGCTTAGCACGATACCTGCTCCATAAAAAAGGTGTTAATTAAAATGATGGCTAAAACAATTATTATCAATAGCATTATTATTCAGAGGTAGCTGTTCAGAATACCCTGTGTGCATTACATCACGGATGATTTTTAACTGGGATGCAGGGAGCGGCAAGGCGGCAAATGCTGACAGACACAATTCCCTCCTCACATTCTGAATGAGAGTATAATATTAAGTCCAGTTAGGCCTCCCAATATTGATTTTCAGATGCTTCCTATAAAAATAAGATAAAATTCTATGCCTCCTTTCCCAGAATTGTAGTTTTTCTGTATATAACACAACAGGTTTCTGCTCTGTTTGTAATTTCCTTTTTATTCTCACTGAATTGAAGTCTGTTTAACACTTTGTGGCCTAACCAATGAACACGGTTTTGCTGAATGGCAATGTTACGTAGCATAAGCCTGTCTCCTTGAGCCGGAAGCAAGAGATGCAGATACCAGGAGCGCTGTGCACCCCATGTTTCCTCAGTCATTGACTAAGGGACAATTAAATTTCTCCTAATTCCACCTGAGAAACTGTGGGCTCCACTGGTATCTAGCATAGTTAGTTAATTTTAATGAAAAAAATTTGTTTTTCATGTGCTCAGGATCGTATCATAGTATTTGCTGTTTGATAAAATACAAAGGAAACGTGTGTGTACAAAGGCAAGTGGGATGGGTTTCTGTGACTTCCTTAAATAACATCACACACACAGCTATACAGAGTCACAACATGTTCAACTTTAAAAAAATATTTTTATACTCTATGGAGTTTGTACTCGAAATATCATTTTCATGGCATGCAAGTTATACCTACGAAGCAGGTGTGAATTAGAAGGTAGGATTATGTACCCATTACACGTAGGTAAAGATAGAGATGGAAATAATTTCCAGCCTGCCATCAGCCTGCCTCGTGACCCTCCCAGTCCATACACACCCTCAATATAGCCACTAATCTGAAACCTATCACCACGTATCGGTGCATTTATGTAAAGTTCTATTCTTGAACTTCACATACATGGAATCATTTAGCCCGTTCTTCTTTGGGTCTGGCTTCTCTTGTCTGTGAGATTCATCCATGTTTTGCGCGTAACAGTGCCACTGCAGGAAGCAGTCACACGTCGTCTTCTGATGTAACTCCTGCTTTAACTTCCCCATCTCCTTGTGCCCTCTTTCCAACAAACTGTCCACTCAGGTGCCAGAAGTACCTTTTGATAAGAGAAGTATGGCCTTGTCACTCCATCCCGTTGCCTTTTCCTGGAAAGCAGTTTCTCCCTCATCCTTCAGCGTGGCGGACTCCTCCTCGTCCTTCGGATCTCAGCTTCTCTGTCGCTTCTGTGGGGATGCCATGCCTGACTCCTGTTGCCCTCTTGTCACAGCTCCTGTAGGTGCCTACGCTGAACTTGCCTTGTGTTAACTGATACGCCTGTGTGATTGCCTGTCTGTCCATCTCTCCCAGTGGGCTGTAACCTCCACGAGGACAGCCTCTGTCTCGTTCACCACTGTGCACCCAATGCCTAGGACGGCGCCTTATATATAACACAGAAACACTTGTTTGGCAAATAAATGGAGTGCCCCTAGCTTTCATCGCCAATGGCGATTCTGATTTCCCTTGCTTCGTGGCCACGCTAATGTTCCCAATGCATACCTCTGATCACCTGCTTGCCCCCAGCTATGATCGCCACATTGCCTACCCAACGAAGTACTCCTTTTCACTAGGGTTTTAGGGTTCTCAGAAAGCCTTCCTGGACTGCCACTGCGACCCTTGTGGATCCTGTGCTGTAGCCACAAAGGGGTGACTGGCTCTCCCCCAAGCCCACCTCAACCCTCCCACCTCTGCACCTGCTTCGTTCTGAATCATGCCTTCCACCTAGAATGTCCTGTCAACGCGGGGCTCACCCTTCAAGCTCATCTCACTGTCCCCCTCGCTGTAAGATAACTCCTAAGTCTCTCCTCAAAATGTCACACCCCTCTCACCCATCATCATAAAATGCCTTTTTGAGTATTACAATGTGCCAGCACTGTTCTCCATGCTTTATCTACATTACTCTCATGGAGTAGGTATTGTTGTTGTCCACACATTACAGGCGAGGAAAGCGAGGCACAGGAATATCAAGATATGAAGTTACGTAGATTTCCTTGTTAGGATGTGAGCGTGTGGGGCGGTGGGTCTGCATTTCGCCCGTCTTTGTTGCCTCCGTCTTCCCAGGCACACAGTTGGTATATGGACAGCACACTGGGCACGGTGCTTCCCGTGTGTGTTCTCGTTTGATGGTGCTCGTGGTGGCATATTTATTGTACAGATGAGGAAACTGAGGCTAGGGCAAGTTAAGGGGTTTGCCCAGGTAGCACAGTTAACAAGTGGCAACGAGAGGGCTCCCCCCTGGATGTGCTTGTGTTTAAACCCAAGCGCTGACCGCTCTGCTCTGCACCTCAGGGTACTCCTGGGGTATGGTTACTCTGAATCAAACCGTTGCTCCTGGGCCAGCTAATTCCTCCCTGGCAGGACTCTGCACCTTTTATGTCCTGCCTTTCACGCGTTTCAGATTCTGATAAAATAGCAATGGTGTGAAGCAAGCCATCACCCTTGTGAAACGCACGCTGCGGGTGGGGGGTGAATGGGGCCCCTCAGCACCAAAAAGTCCGCAGGGCAGACCCAGCGGTGAGCACCACGGAGCCCTTGCTGTCCTGGGGCTGAATGTAAATGGTGGAACCGCATTTAGGGGTCCCAATGAATGGCCTATTCATTACCTTCAGCTCCGTTGGAATTGCAGGCCCACTTCTTGCCAATTCTTTAACCGTGTTCCATATCTATATTGACCATATGCTCAAACACGACAACTTCCATCCCTCATTAAGTGAGGCAAGAAACAATCTACAATGTTCAATTGGCACCAGGAGGAGGTGGGAGGAAGAGAAAGAGTCAGAGAGGAGAGGAGGGGAGGAAAATACAAGACAAGAAAAACAAGTGCAGGCTGCGCGGTAACGACCACCCAGGTGGTTTTGTGTTACCTGTTTTAGGGGATCGTGTCTACCTTCCCCCGCTCTTTTGCACACAAGGCAAGGGATTGCCTGTCGCTGGTGCATGTGGGTGTGTGTGCATGTGTGTGCATGTGTGTAAGCCTGGTTCTGACACCACAGCTCTCCAACTGAAAGCAGAACGTGCGTGCACCCTGTCCCTGTATAAACCTCTCTATAGATGAGAGTGTTACAGTGCAGAGCCCGGACTGGGCCAGCACAGCCTGCAGCCTCCTCAGCTTTAAGCTGCTCCCTGCTGGGTCTCCAAACTCCGAGGTGGAGGTGGAAGGTCAGGGCAGATGCTTAGCTTTGAGCAGACCCCCTTTCTAACCACTCCTGAGCTGGAGGAACCGGCAGCATTTGCAAACATCTCCAAGGCGTGGGCAAGACTTACTTCACGCCACTCTGATCCGCATTAAAAGAGAATTATATTCAGAGTGTGTGTTCCAGTGGAGATAGATTCTCCTTATTTCCCTGGGGCCTGATAACCCATTTAAACTGCTGCGAGGGAGGCCCACTGCCTCAGGAAAGCAATGTGGAGTTTGAACCGGTTTTTCCTACAGTGAGTCCGATTTTTGCAGGAGCCAGGAGCTCTCCTGCACTGAGTGTGTGGGAGTGGATATGTGCACAGGGAATTCGTGTTTCTCTGGAACCCAGATAACCAAGAAACTGCCTTAAGTGAGCTTGAGCAAGAGTAAGTTGGCATGCTTTCTGAGAAAGGGACACTCGTGCTTGGCGTAGATTAAGGAGCACATTTGGCGTGGCCAGTTCTCAGTGACAGAGGGAGTAAAGGCAGCTTTGGTGTTTGGTTTTAAAGAAATATTCCAAAGGGCTTAATTTCCAAGAATGTTGTGTAAATATCCCACCTTTCTCAACACCAGTTTAATCATATATCCACTCCCTTATTTAGTCATGCCTCCACAAACTTTTCATCAACCCCACTGCCAGGCACCCTAAGAAAGTTATCTCTTTTAACCATCACAAGTAGGATTCCCCCACTTTATAAATAAGTCTGTCGACACCTAGAGGACGGAAGGACCTGCCTAAAGTCCACAGCTTCTACAGAATAATTGGTTTTCTTCATTCAGCCAACAGACATTTATATAAATAGAATGAATTATGTAGGACAGTATGCCAGCAAATGTGGCAGGTAGAAAAGATGCACATGCAAACACACTATGACAATGAAGAGACAAGTATTCCAACCGAGGGACAGGCATCTCAGTGGAGGGCTGCTGGGCCCTCCCTGGGGGGCAGGAGGGGAGGAGATTGTCTTCAAGATGGTGTAAGAGTTGCTCCACACACCAGGCCCTGCCTGCCTCAGCGCCTTGTGCTTGGGCCCTTTGCCTAGAACGCTTCCAGCTCTCTGCATGGCTGGTATCTTCTCACAGGCCTTCCTTGAACAACCTATCTGAAGACAGTCCCCTTTTCTGCCTTCTCCCAGCACTTCATT